GCTCTCTGCTTCATGCTGCTCTGCCTGTTGCCGCATCTTCCACGATGACAGATTTTACCCTTTCCCATGATAGACTCTACCCCTCTAGAACTGTAAAGCAAACTTTCTCCCTAAGGCTGTTCGTTGTCAAGACAGGAAAGTGGTGGGGCATGGTCCTTGCTCTCTCTCTGATGTACAAGATCTAGGTAGCTTCTCCACGCTCCTCCTTTAAGCATTCTTGGCATATGCCAGACTAGTTGTCCAGATACATCTTGCTGCTGTTCTCTGATCCAGTGACTATTCCTCAAATTGACTCTAAACTTAATGAGCAGACTGGAGTTCTTCACACGCTCATAACTGTCTCTGGACAGCTCTGTCTGATCCTCTTGAGGCCAGCCTTCCCCACTTCTCTGGTTTCCCTGGGATTCCAGCTTTTAAAATTGTGTTGTCATACTGCAAATACAGAGTCTGAGTTGAGTGAGCTCTTGTCTCAAAGATCCTCGCTGATGGAGATTGCTTTCACATCATACTTCCTTGGCTGGTGATTGTAAGGACGATTTGAGACCCTCTGTTGGGGTTGGCATTGCTCATTACTAAGCGAACCTCAGTACAAAAAGCAAAAAGTAACCATTGTTGCATACAGCTCAGAGCCTGTGGACAAAGGGGCTAGAGTGAACTTCTGTGTCATGTGCATGTCTCCATGTGCAGACAAAGCTAGACTCTGCTCATGTGTGTACAGGAACTGCCATGAAGACACAGAAGACTTGGTACTGACTCAAAGGACTGACAGGAGCAACCATCTGGAGGCTTTTCAGACTCAAGCTTGAGCCCAGCAGGACTGAGGGCTGGAGTGACTCCAAGCCGCCTCTCAGAGCACAGTGGCAACAGCTGGAGAACATGTGATCCAGGAAGCCAAGACAATAGAAGCTGGCCTGTCTGTAGGAGAGTTTCAGACCACTTTTAGTTTGGATACAATCTTTCTTTTCTTAGCATCCATGTAACTGAAACTAATTGGCAATTTGCATGTTGTGAATTGTATCATTTTGCATTTAAGTTTATGATTGCTAGTTTTTAGCTAAGTAATTCCTCCTTTATAAGCCATTTGTCTTAAAGCTAACTCCACAATCCCCTCTGACCGTAAGGCCAGTCTTCGCATCTAGGTTCTCACCTGATCCTTATTTTGCAGCTTCTGAGGGTCATGTTTCTAAGTAGACTCTCCCAGTTCTGATCTACAGAAAACAAATGGGTATCCATTCTGTACACATGAGTTTTTGAAGGAACCATAATATATTTGAGTAACAAAAGACCATGCCCAGGTCCTGACATTTTCCAAATGCACAAGCAATTGTCCGTGTACATTTACTGACTGGTCTCTCCATGAACGTTCGGATTCACTGAGTCTGTGAGTCTATTTCAGTACCATGCTAATACCAAGAAAACCCCCTCAAGATCATGGAGCAGATCTGTTTTAGGAAGTTTATCATGGCACCCAAGAAGGTTGAGAACAACTTAGGTAGTAGACCATCTGATCTAGTCTGTTTATAGATTTTGTTCTGCAAGACTTTTCCTGCAGCTTAACAGAGGCATAGATGAAGAACACAATACTTCTTGGGTCAAAAAGCATTCTTAGTTGTGATCTTGACATCACAAAATGGCCTTGGAACCCAGGCCTCCTCATCCTTCTTTGCTCCTAAAATATGTATGGAATGTTTCTATATGTATTGTTTTCTTTCTTTTTTAAATTAAATTTGTTTATTTACTTTATAATACCATATCAGCCCTTCCTCTCCTTCCAGTTCCCCATCACTTTAGTCCTCCCCCCATTGCACTTTCTCCTTCTCTTAAGAAGGAGAAGCCCCCTTCTGGTCGTTACCCCCCACACACTCCTCACTCTCCATATTTTTTTCTTTCAATGGTGAGAAAAACAAGTGACACTTATGTTCAAAGTTGCTTTGAGGTTATAGCTGGACTCACAGAAGTCAAACCTGGGTTTTACCCAGTCTGAGGCAGAAATTCCAAGTTTTCACATATTAGACATCTAGGCAAATAATTCTTTGTGGTGAAATGTTCTATATCATCCCTGGACTGTCCCTACAGTGATACCAAAACTGTCTCCCAACACTGTCAAGTGTGCTCTGAGGGAAGAACACTTCTAAGAAGCACTGGTCTAGAGTCCACTCAAGACTACAAGTTTCATCAGCAAGCAGGCAGCATCAGCACCACCTCAGAGTCTGACAGAATGTAGAATACTCCAGTCTCCTTCTTAGAACTGCTTCCAAAATTCCCAGTTTCTCAAGATTCTCAGATGCTTTGTATGCACTTTAAAGTTGGCAGTTCCCAGCATCTTTTGAGAAAGAATGACCAGGATGGTTTGTCTCTGTGTATCCTGATCCATCTCAAGTTCCGACCAAAGTACGGAGCACATACCTTCAGCATGCTGCCCTGGGGAGAGCAAGGATTTTGGCGTCAAATGGTCCAAAAGGGTCTTTGCTGCAAGTCTAATAGATTATTTACTCTATGTAGTATTATCCATATACTAAAAAAAAAAATTCTACCTAGGTTTCAAAACAGAAAAATTTTCTGAGCAGGCTACTTGAGACGTGCATCCTTTGACTCCAAGTTACCCAGTCACTTGTATTGTCTTCTCAAATCTAGCTCCCTCTGCCAGCCAGTTCAGAAATGCCTGGAAATGGCAAATACCACTAGAGGGCAGTAGCCTCCATTTTTAGGTTTAGGAAAGCCAGTTTATGGCCACTGAACCCCTCAATTTAAAAAATTGTTGAATGCGTATAAATGCCATAAAGATTATTTCAAAACAAAAAAAAGAAAAAAGAAAAAAAAAAGCCGGGCAGTGGTGGCGCACGCCTTTAATCCCAGCACTTGGGAGGCAGAGCCAGGCAGATTTTTGAGTTCGAGGCCAGCCTGGTCTACAGAGTGAGTTCCAGGACAGCCAGGGCTACACAGAGAAACTCTGTCTTGAAAAAACAAAACAAAAAACAAAACAAAACAAAAAAACAAAAAAGACTATCTCTAGCCAAGTGGAATACTACATATAAATGTTGAGAGTGCTGGCTAGTTCAACTTCACACAAGCTAGAATCAGAGAGGAAAGAGCCTTAACCGAGAAAATTCCTCCAAAAGATGGGGCTGTGGACAACTCTGTAGAGCATTTTTAGTTAGTGAACCCATTAAGGGTATGCCACCCTTGGCCTGGAGGTCCTGGGTTCTATAAGCTGACTGAGGAAGCCACACGAAGCAAGCTCGTAAGCAGCTTGGCTTCTCAATGGCTTCTACAGTAGCTCCTGCCTCCAGGTTACTGTCCTGACTTCCTTCAGTGATGAACAGTGATGTGGAAGTGTAAGTCAAAAATATCCTTTCCTCTCCAACTTGCTCTTTTTGCCACTATATAGTGTTTCACCACAGCAAATAGTAACCCTAAATAAAACAGGAATAAATAGAAAAGTAAAAGCATCTTCTTAGGAATGCTTGCGGATCCTCAGACAAACTGAGGAGCAAGGCACTCTTGCCGGCTCTGGATTCTGCTAAGACAACCAGCACTCTCGGTTACCTTTGTACTAAGGGGTGCTCACCGATGAACTAAAGGGCACAGGTCTTAACCCTCACTTCCTCAACCATCAACAATGCTTCAGAATGAATAGTAAACTTTACAGATGACCAGAAAGGGACTGAATGTCTCCCTGGAAACTAGTCCTTTTCCATCCCGGAGCTTTCTCTGAACCTCTCATTCCTGTGTCCAACTTGGGAAAACTACGTTGTTGTGGAAACGAATGGCCACAGTGAATCCATTATTTGACACACCCTAATTAAGAGACACCTCTCAGTAGTAGCAGCACATAAATTCCAGCATAATAGAGGCTCAAGCAGCAAGAAAATATTGCATGCCAGTATGGCTTGAGCTTAAAGACCTCAATCTCCCTCCTCTCTCTCACATACTCACAAACACATAGTCACAGTTTTCACTTGAATCTTTTAAAAAATGACATTTATTAAAATCATCTTAGAGATGAAAAGGAAAGACTTGGCCGGGCAGTAGTGGCACACACCTTTAATCCCAGTACTTGGGAGTTAGAGGCAGGTGTATTTCTGAGTTTGAGGCCATCCTGGTCTACAGAGTGAGTTCCAGGACAGCCAGGGCTACACAGAGAAACCCTGTCTTGAAAAAGAAAAAACAAACAAACAAACAAACAAACAAAAAACCAAAAAACCAAAAAAAAAGAAGAAGAAGAAAAAGGAAAGACTTATATTATACAACAAAGACTCAGACCCCAAGCAGTTGCACCCCTATGACCAATGTCCCCCAAAGTTCCTCTGCACATGGCAGTGCCACCACAGTATTCTTCAGGAAGTTCAAGCCTCAGCTGTTTCCCAATGTTCCTGGGAGGTCCTTCCTCCTCTTTATCATTGTTTAATGCAGGGGTATCTCGTGTCTTCTTTGTTCCTCCATCAATCTTGAATGCCTGGGTGTAGGGAAACAAGAGAAAAAGATACAAGGCAAAGAGACATGAGTATAAGGACCGCAGCAGTGACATCTGGGTCACCCTGAGCAAATACACGCAATTGGTGCTAGGGCTCAATGATAGGCAATATTTTAAAACTCATTCTCCATTGGTCCATACAATTCGAGCACTCAGGAGCCTAAGGCTGTGGAAGACTCGTCTCAAAAAGGACAAAATGAAAAAAAAAAAAGACAAAATGGTATCTTTTGATCACAAACAAGCATTCTTGAGTCATACCACCTTATTTGTACAGTATTTTCGAAAATACGTAGCTGGGTGGTGGTGGTGGCGGTGCATGCCTTTAGTCCCAGCACTTGGGAGGCAGAGGCAGGCAGATTTCTGAGTTCGAGTCCAGCCTGGTCTACAGAGTGAGTTTCAGGACAGCCAGGGCTACACAGAGAAACCCTGTCTCGAAAAAAAAAAAGAAAGAAAGAAAGAAAGAAAGAAAGAAAGAAAGAAAGAAAGAAAGAAAGAAGAAAAAAAAGAGAAAGAAATTACGTTAATTCTAACAGTACCTTAAGGAAGCCCAAGGAAGGATCAACTTTAGATCAGTGAGCATGAACTTCAGAGCCCTCGACCACTCCTCCTCCGTGTTCAGATGGGTCCTGATGGAATAGCACTCCCCACTGTCCCAGGCATCCTCCATCACTCCTTCCTTCACATGGATTCTATAGGGCAAGCAGGGGCATCTCTCATCCTTCTCAATCTCCTCCACAAACTGCTGCAGACAGTCCAGGAAGGCCTTCATCCCACAGTCAAACTTGTTATCCAAGAAGACGCTGTGGCTCCCATCAGAGAACAAAGGCAGCACCTCGTCACCAGTCAAGGACTTGAGATAGGAGTGGTCCCCAAAGGGAACCAGTTGATACCTCTGAAATTGCAGCCCAGCTATCTTGGACAAGCTGAAGAGCAGTAAGACTGTCTGTCCCCAGGCAGCACTGATCTCTGTCCATTCCACCGGTACCCCGGGGAGGCAGCCCATCCTGAAATTGTTGATAACGCCCAAGGGACCCTCATCTGAAATGGTAAATGTGATGTTGAAGATGTTGGTTTCTCTTAAGTGGTACAAGTGATTCAGGGCATACTCCAGCTGGTTCTCCACACTGCTCAGTTGGTCCATCAGCTCCAGCTGTTCCATCTTCAAAGCAGAATAGTCGGCCCTGTGCTGTTCATTCTGTTGACACAGCTCCTTGCTCTCAGCCTGAGCTGCTCTGAGTTCGGTGACTACCCTTGCATGGTGGTCATCTAGATTCTCTAGCTCCTGAGTCAGCCTTGCTTCCTCCTGCTCCAGACTGGACAGTTCAGCACGAAGCTCCACACGTAACGCCTCCATCTCTTCCTCACTCAGCAGCAACTCTCTCTCAAGGAAACTTCCGTAGTTCTGGTTGTCAGATGCAACTCGAGAGAGCTGGTCATCTAGCTGCATCAGGAGATTGTCAGTGCAGTCCACACACAGAGGGTGGTCCACCACCTTTTGGTCAGAGAGAATTTCGAAGGTCTCTAAGGTAGTATTTTGGATACTGTTCAAAGTTCTCATGGAGGAAGACTCACCAAGCAGAGTAAAGGTGCAGCAGACACTTCCCTGGGGCATCCTGCCACAGACAGAGTAGGGTCTGCTGGAGGTCCTGACCTGGGACTCCCCAGCAACTGGCATCTTTGTGGGGGGCTTGGCATGGTGCTGGACTTCCAAGGGCGCTCCTTGCTGCTGTAAGAGTTTCAGGGGCTCGTTGCAGCGCTGGCACAGGAAGAGGGCAGGAGACATCCTGGAGCTCCTCACTCCCACCAGAGTCAAAGTTTCACACATTTGGAAATGGACCTTCCCTCTACTCCCCTCCTTACCTTATCGCAACCCCCTATTGGGCTACCAGCTGACCTATAGCATCCCGAGCCAGTCTCTGAAAAGGGAAACACTGCTTATCTTGTTTTTCCCCTGGAAAGTTTTCAAGGCACACCTTAAAAGATTTATAACCTTAAAACACTTTATGCATTAACATCATCTTTAGAAAAAGTCTAAGCTGGGTATAATGGCACATGCATGTAATTCTAACATTCAAGATATAGAGGCAAGATCTTGAATTTGTTTATTTATGTATATTTAAGGTAGAGTTTGACTGTAGAGATAACCTGAACTCCTGCCTGACCTTCGCTTGCCACTGCCTCCCAGGTGATAGCATTAAAGATGTATATCACCACACCTACTGAATGTCGAATTTGACATCTGTCTAAACTACACAGTACCAGGACAACCTGGAGTACATACTGAGACCCTGCCTTAAAAGGAAAAGAAAAGTCCAGGTGTATTGACACATGCCTGTGACCCTAGGATTATTACCAGCTTTAGCTACATAGTGAGTACCAGACTATCCAGGTACAGCAATACTGTCTCAGAAATGAAAAACAAAGCAAGGCGGTGGTGGTGCACGCCTTTAATCCCAGCACTTGGGAAGCAGAGGCAGGCAGATTTCTGAGTTCAAGGCCAGCCTGGTCTACAGAGTGAGTTCCAGGACAGCCAGGGCTATACAGAGAAACCCTGTCTCGAAAAACCAAAAAAAAAAAAAAAAAAAAAAGAAAGAAAGAAAAAAAAAGAAAAGAAAAATAAAAAGACACACACACCTGTAATCTTAGCACTTGGAAGGTAGAAGCAGAAGGATCAGGAGTTCAAGGCCAGCCTGGATTCTAAGTGGCCATATCTCAAAATATAAACTCAATAAGAATCCCAGTCATACCAACCCAACTCTAAGATCCACCTGCTTTCCAGACTCTCCCCTCCTGTCTCTCCACATGACTTGATTTTAGTTTGTCAGTGAGTCATACTCCCACCACTTACATTGCTCTCTACTCCCTTTTATTTATTATTTATCTATTTATTTATTTATTTATTTATTTATTTATTTAAGTTTTTCGAGACAGGGTTTCTCTGTGTAGCCCTGGCTGTCCTGGAACTCACTCTGTAGACCAGGCTGGCCTTGAACTCGGAAATCTGCCTGCCTCTGCCTCCCCAGTGCTGGGATTAAAGGCGTGCACCACAACTGTCCGGCCTCTACTCCCTTTTAAAATCAGGTTTTTAAAACATATTTATAGTGGAGGGAGCATCCATGTATTGTTATGTGGAGGTCAGAGACATCTTTCAAGTTAGTTATTTTCCAGAGATTGAACTCAGGGCATCAGCTGGGAAGCAAGGACCTTTCCCCATGGAGGCATCTCCTCTAGGAAGCCTTCTCTGACCTACAAAATCAGACTGCTTTCACAATACACTTGGCATCCTCTATCACACAATAATATAACAGGCATTCATGGGAAATATTCTCATTCAGTTCACGAAACAAAAGTAGTCTGGAGATGTACATTTTTTACGATCAGCTCAGCCATGGACTAAAACGTCAGTCAACACTGTAATCCCAGACTTCAGAGACTGAGGTGGGAAGACGGCGAATTTAAGGCCAGCCTGGGCTGTATGTTGAGAGTGGACCTCAAAATTAATGAATTAATTAATAAGAGTGCAGGGGAGAGTCAAGAATTCTCAATTCTATTTACCCTTATGACCTCCTGAAAATATCTCTGAAGTAATAAATAAAAAGAATCTCCCCTTTAAGTTAATTATAGAACCACTTCTCCAGTCAGTCAATATTCCAGAGCAAGCCTGGCTATAAACAAGGCTTAAAACCACCGTGGACCAGCCGTTTGCTGTGAATTTAGCAATAGCAGCTGCAAAGGCATTTGAAACCCTTGTGCTCTCAGAGATGGGCAGGATGTCCACAGAGACTGCCTTCCTTTCCCTATGTTTTCAATATCACAGTCCCTGACCTATGTGATTACATAAAGAAAACTCAGTGATGAGGATCTCACCCATTCATACTGACCGACCCTCCAGTAAAACTAACAACAATCGCAGCACTCCTGACTAAGCTTGGGTCTTTTGAGGACAGTTTATCAGGAGAGAGAACAAAATGATCAGAGAGACAGACAGTTTAGCCCTCCTTCAGTGGAGGAGTAAATGGGGCTGGACTGCTGCTCTTGGGAGAAGAAACCCCTTCTCATTTCTGTAGGACCCCCCACCCCAAAAACCTGCCTTCTCTTCCCCACATCCTGAGGCTGAGAGAAGCCAATGAGACCTCCATGGACTGGACAATGAATGACCCAGGGAAAGGTTTGCTTGCGCTCTCTCTCTCTCTCTCTCTCTCTCTCTCTCTCCCTCTCTCTCTCTCTCTCTCCCTCCCTCCCTCCCTCCCTCCCTCCCTCCCTCTCAGTTATTGGTGCTAAGGAAGATCACAGCCCCTCACTAATTCCCTGGGTCCTGTTGCCAAAGATTTCTGTCACAAATTATCTACTCACTGTGTCCCAATTCCTCTATCTTAAGCCCATTGTACACCATCTCTGTTCTCACTACTCCTCTGACAGTCCTCTTGCAATGCCACTAAGCTTAACCTCAGGAGACCAGGAAGCAGAACTTGGCCAACAATACAGATGAGAGAGGAAACACCGTGTGTGACAGTCACCAGTCACTTGGGAGTGAAGACACCAGAGGAGCTAGAGACAGACGCAACTGGCTTCTGAGAGGAAGTGTCCGTCTCTCCAACCACAGTCACTATATGTGTGGCCAACCAAGCAAGACGAAACCAGGGAGACGTTCCAAGTAAGATATGGTCAGGAGGTTGATTGCAATGCCTGCTGGGAAGAAAGGACTGTGAGGAGACAGTGAAAGGCCAGTGGGTCACAACAAGGATTAGGAGTTAAACTTGAGGCTGGAGAGATGGCTCATCAGTTAAGAGCACTGGCTGCTCTTCCAGAGGACCTGCGTTCAATTCCCAGCACCTATAATGGCAGCTCATGATTGTCTATAACTCTAGTTCCAGGAGATCTGACACCCTCACACAGACACACATACAGGCAAAATAACAATACACATAAAATAAAACATTAAAAAAAAAGAATTGAACTGTCAAGATACCTGCTAGACATGTGAAGTTTGGGGGTAGGAGAAATGAGAAGAACATGAAATTTGTCTTCCTGTCTGCAATCTCTGTTCTAATACAAATACGCAATCTTTAGCACCTCCTGATGTGATACAGTTTTTGGATCCAGAGAGCCTGTGATGCTAATTTTGTTTCATTAACAGTTTACTTAAGAACTTGATGCTCGCTGGGCAGTAGTGGCGCACACCTTTAATCCCAGCACTTGGGAGGCAGAGACAGGTGGATTTCTGAGTTCAAGACCAGCCTGGTCTACAGAGTGAGTTCCAGGGCTACACAGAAAAACCATGTCTCCAAAAACAAACAAAACAAAAACAAGAACTTGATGCTCAGCTTCTGTGTTAGGGAATGCATGAAGCAGAAGCTACCTTAGAGTGCAGTGTGGACAATCAGGCAGTGTTCAACCAGACACAGTGGTGCTTAGAAACTGTTAGATGTGGTAGCTCGCCTGCAAGTCCAGATGAAGATCAACGTGGGTCCAGAGAGAAAGCAGGAATGAGTGTCTGGGAAGGGAGACAGGTATCTTCGAAGGAGGAGATGAAGGAAAGAAACAGGTTGCTCCGTAAGTGCAGATGAGCAGTGAGAATCCACAGGCCCCTGTGCTGAAGGAAGGCTTCTCAAATAGTTAAGTGAGTGTCTCATTCCAGGGAGCTTTTTTATTCTCTTCTCATGACTTCAGATGTATTATGTCTCTTTCCACTTTCTGGCTACAGGCTGGTGCCGGGCAAGGGAAGCTCCTACAGTCTGCATGAAAACTGCATTATCTGCCATTGTCTTGAAGGAATCTGCAGTTTGTCTTGGAGGAAGACTCATGGGTCTCAAATATTGCTGGGAAGTACTTGGCTACCGAATGTCCTTACATTCCCTTTCTCCCTGCCTAGCTTTATGTTTAAATAAAATAACTGAGATTTGGAGCAGGACTGTGTATAACTAGTCCCAGTCCCAGGGTGGCCCCTCCTTCACTGTCTTTGTTCACGTCCTACGAAGTCTCTATGAGATACTGTTGTGAATTGTTAGCTCAGTTAGTAGGTGGAATGCTTGTCTAACATGCAGGAGGCCTAGGTTTGGTCCCCAGCAGCACAGAAACCAGGCATGATGCAACATGCTTGTCACACTAGCTCTCAGGAGATGGAGGTAGAAGGATCAGAAGTTCAAGGTTATCCTCAGAAACTTAGCGGGCAGATTAGAATGCAAAAGACTTGGCCTCAAAACAAACAAGCAAAAGGGAAGGTCTTGCAGCTGACAAGTTGCTTCCCTTCTGAATGGCTGTCATTGCCTGAGGGGACAATCTGAACAGTTCTCAAAAGTAGAGTATAGCCTGCGCATTTTAGATCACTTCTTCCTCTCTGGGCAGCTTGCCGTAGCCTGCCAGACCTTGGTGTTCCTGTGATCCAAGGTAACTGCTGAGTTAGGACAAGGATTCTGTGTGACTTCAGCCTTAAAGGGGATAAAATGGGTTTGGAACAACTGGTTTTTATATAGTTATATAGTCACTTGTGATTAACATGCCTGTGTGTAAAGGTAAGCAGATGGCCTAAAGTAACGCAGATGTCAAGTATTAGCACAGATGCTAGTTTTCCATCCTGTCCTTAGTTAGCTTGTAGCTTTTAAACCTCCATATCTTAGGCTCCAGCCAGAGGGAAGGTGGTTTCTTGGCCATTCCCAGGTCCATCTTTGGATCTTCAGGCATTTAGTGGTTCAGAGCTATCTCTACAAGTACAGCCCAGTGATTCTCCAGCAGTGTGAGTATCTCAGTCTTTCTAGCATTGAGAATCTCCTGCCCCTGCCACCCACCCTTCAGGACTCCAAAGCATCTCTGATGTCTCACCTTTGCCACCCATAGCATTTCTCACCTGGGCCACAGCCCATGTCTCAGGTCTTCACACTGCTTTGAACACACTATGTTCCCCTGAAATACAAGCAGAAAGGCTGATGGGAACTAGGCATGGGGAGAAGTAAGTGGCAAGAACGGAAAGAGCGGGGCTGGAGAGATGGCTCAGCTGTTAGGATGTTTACTGTTCTTGCAGACCACCTGTGTTCAGTTCCTAGCACCCACGGCAGGAAGCTCACAACCACCAATAACTCTATCTCCAAGAAATCCATAGCTTCTCAAGGCTCTCACGCACATACCCACACACATGCACACATGCATAAACACACATGCATAAACACATATCCACACACATGCACACATGCATAAACAAATTAGAAATAAAATCCATCAAATATTGGCAAGAACTCAGTGCTGCCCTTGCACCCATCCCATGGAAGTTCTGGGTGGGAGAGATGTTCAGGGCACTGGACTCTGCACGAGGGTAGAGTATAGGGATGTCTTTGATTCTTTGTGTGGGAGCTAGTTAGTGCAATGTAACCGTGCCCAGGATATTTTTTTTTTTTTTTTTTTTGGTGTGGTCAGGGTGGGGGTAGAGGTAGGGCTGGTATTTCTAGACAACGTTTCTTTCTTTCTTTCTTTCTTTCTTTCTTTCTTTCTTTCTTTCTTCTTTCTTTTTTGTTTTTTTAGAGACAGGGTTTCTCTGTGTAGCTCTGGCTATCCTGGAACTCACTCTGTAGATCAGGCTGGCCTCAAACTCAGAAATCCACCTGCCTCTGCCTCCCAAGTGCTGGGATTAAAGGCGTGCGCCACCACCGCCCGGCTCAAGAGCTATGTCTTAAGTGAGGTGTGTGTATCCCGCTGACAAGGGGTCAGATGTGCTGGCTGGTCTCATGCAAACTTGACACATGCTAAAGTTATTTGAAAAGAGGGAACCATAATTGAAAAAAATGCCTTCATAAGATGTAAGATTTTTTTTTTTAACTAGTGATTGATGAGGGAGGAACCCGCTCATTGTAGGTGGTGACATCCCTAGGCTGGTGGCCAAGTTCTATAAGACATCAATAAGGCTAATCAGGCCAGGGGAAGCAAGCCAGTAAGCAACACCCCTCAATGGCCTCTGCACTAATTCCTGCCCAGTTTGAATTCCTGTCCTGACTTCTTTCAGTGATAAACTATAATGTGGAAGTGTAAGCCAGATAAATCCTTTCCTCCGCCAACTTGCTTTTTGGTTGTGGTATTTCATCATAGCAACAGTAACCCTAAGACACCACCTAACAAGCTAGTTTACAGTTTTTAAAGTTGAGGCTCAGATAGTAAATTAACTAGCCTGAAGTCACATAAGGAAGCAGCATGCAGACGGCAAAGAATCTTCTTTAACCATATACTCTCTTAGAGTATATGGAGACCATGTACTCTGGGGGCTGGGCAATCCTTCTCTGCTGTTCTTATCCTCGTCCATCACCCTGGAAAGGGGGTTCAGGGTGTGTCCTGGGGTAGACCCAAACCTGTAGCTGTCTAGTCTGGCCACATCTATAATAGATTAGATGTATGAGACAGTGCCTTGGAGCCTGGAGATCTATGGGCTTTTCTAATTAGCTATCTGATTTTTTTTTCTTCCATTTAGTTCTTTTTCGGGTATGTGCATGCACATGTATGCCATGGTGCATGGATGGAGGTCAGAGTGCAACTTGCAGGACTCACTCTCCTCTGCCTGTGCATTTCCAGAATGCCTTGGTGGCAGGAGTCAGTACCTGCAGAGACGTCTCAAAAGTCCAGTGTTTGATCTTTGACAAAACTTGAACACCTTTCAAGGAAGCATGTTCCACCTTTTGCTATTGTAACAGGTCATTTGTTATCTACAAACTACCCAAAAATTTACAGAAAAAGCAACACAAAGAAAATCTCTAACTGTTCTTCCAGAGGTCCTGAGTTCAAGTCTCAGCAACCACATGGTGGCTCACAACCATCTGTAATGGGATCCAGGGCCCTCTTCTGGTGTGTCTGAAGTCAGCGACAGTGTACTCATAAAAATAAACTTTTTTTTTTTTTGGGGGGGGGGGGAGGTTCGAGACATGGTTTCTCCGATGTGTGGAGTTGATGAGAGAACCTTATTAGTGAATCCCAGCAAAGACACCTCCCCGAAGGCCTTTCTCTTCTTTGGTCATGCATATTCTCCCGCAATAGGTGGGATCTCAAAAACTGGCTTTAAACTCAGCATGCAGCTAAAAAATGATCTTGACCTAATACTCCTGCCTCTCCCTCCCAGGCGAGGATTACAGGTGTGTACCTCTCTGTTTGGTTTATACAGGGCAAGATGAAACATTATTATTATTACTGGGATTTGGAGACAAGGTTTCTCTGTTTAGCTCTGGTTGTCTGAAACTCACTTTGTAGACCAGGCTGGTTCAACTCAGATCCACCTGCTTCTACTTCCTGTTTGCTGGGATTAAATGCGTGCACCACCAGGCTCGGAATATATGGAGATAATTCTTTTAATTCACGACAATATAGTTATTTTTGAAAGACTTAGGTGCTGCGTGCATGTGGTCACAAGCACCCTAAGAGGTGCCAAGGACTGATTTTGGCTACTCTCTTTCCATCTTTATAAGTGGTTATAGCTTCCCATGGAGAAAGGGAGAGAGAAAATGAACAAAACCCAAGGCAAAACTGCAAGTGACACCTGGGATGAAGAAAGATGGATGAGGGTTGGGTATCCTCACATTGGAAGTATAGTCCAGCCAGTAACTCCTGGTCTTACCCATGTCTACCCTCTTCTGTCCACTCTAATACAACAGAAACTTGCCTGTCTCTCCACTGACAGAAGCCATTATCTGCTTGGCTACTGTTGATAGAGAACCCGCCCTTCCTTGACTGGGACTCCTCATTCTTGCCTATGGTCCTCTTCCATGCTGTATAGCACATTTTACTGGTTTCCTCACGTTTCAGAGATGAATACCTGTAGATGGTGTCTGTCTGACCTGCGTGGTGATTGTTCATGGGGTCTCAGATCTGAGCTTCAGATCAGGAGTTCCCAAGTTCATTGGACTGTGTTTGCCCCTCCCCCACTCCTTTTTAAAGATTCCAAGTCTTGGTCTCTCCTTTGTGTCTTAGACGCTTTCATTATGTCTCCCCCTCTCGTTTTATCAGATTGGTCCTTTCAAAACCTGTCTGAATTTTTGCAGAATATACTGATCAGAGGCTCTACAGCTTCAGCATCTTGCACAGGGTTAAGTAAATGCTAAGGAACTTTTGGGCCACACTTCAGAGGTACACTGAGAAAACCAGGTGGCAGCTTTGAGACCTAAGCATGTTAACCATCACCATCGTAAGCAGACAGCTCCTCCTACTGCCTTCCAATCGCAGCACCATTATTTTCAACTTACCCTGAAAGGACAGACAGGAAAGGCAGCTGGGGGGACTGAAAGCTGCTGAGTCATCCATTCTTGGGTGTAAGTGGCTGCAGACATCTGTGGCTTTCTAGTTACAATAGACTAGATGTTACACTACATGGTACAGAGTCCTTTAGATTGCTACGGATGCCAGGAGATTTGCCCAATTACCATTTCAACTTCGCAGAAATGTCAAAGACAGATTTATTCTTCTATTTAGCTTTCTATGAAAATATAAAAAGCTGAGCAAAAGAAAGTCACAAAGTTAATAAACAAAATGTATTCCATTTAAAAAATGGCATTGAGAATAATACATCTCTCCAGTTGATAAGATTTATCCTGTACGCAGCAGCCTGCACTTAGGGAAATATTGCTCTCTGAGCACGTACACACTCAGGCTTGTTAAAGATCTCATCTTCTGTCTCTGGAGTGAGCTGGATATTGTCCTTGACTGGAGACAGGGGCTTCTTACAAGAAGGAAGCTTTTCAGAATCTCTGCAAAAACATAAAGTAAATTTGGTTCAGGTACTATTAGAGAAGCAATAACCCAAATGGAAATAAAAAACAGGGCACATAAGCCCTTTACTGTGTAGTCTACGTCAGCTTCTATGGAGCACATTCAAGGCTTTATTCTGAGTTCTTCCAGTATAGTTTAAACTTTTCTTCTTTGAGTCTCTTCTGGCTTTCAAAACCACCTTCATGTAGGTCCTAGTCAATTACTATAACTAACACACACACAGACACAGAGCACACATACAGATATATATATATATAAAGACAGACTGACTTGGAACTAGCTATGTATCCGGTAAGCTTTAAACTCAGATTCTTCTGCTACTGCCTCCCAAGAGCTGGATTAAAAGTGTGCATTTCAATAATCTCCTTCAAGTTGGCTATGGATGAACATAAATAGAGCAAGGCTAACAATTGAGATATATATACACACTATATATATAAAATCAAATGCCCTTCTGCTGGACTTGTCCTCTACACACACTAAAAATCCTACTATGAAAATAACATGGTAACATTTGGTTTCCTCTCAAAGAAAATCAAGAGCCACTTAGTTATTTTTCCCAATAGATCTTTAAGAATACCACTGTGACTGATTTCTTCTAACATCAGCTATATAAGGTCCCTGGGCCCTCAAGACTTGAGTCCCTCTCAGGAGCTTTGTAAGATCAAATTACTTTCATAATATTTGGACTTTACCTTTCCCACTGTGCTGACATCTGTACCAATAAATGCCAAAGCAGAATCTGGTAAAAGCTGCCAGCAACTCAGTGTGAATGTAGAGGTAGGAGGATCTCTGTGAGTTGAAGTTAGTCTACATAGTGAGTTCAAGGGCAGCCAGAGCTATACTGTGAGATTCTGTCTCCAAAGAAAAACACAAAAGGAAATCAACTTAAGATGGGCATGGTGGTACACAACTTTAATCCCACCACTTGGAAGGCAAAGAGACGGGTGTTTGAACCAGGCTCTCAAGTCTGCCTCCCTCCATCTCCCAACACTGGGGTTATAGGTCAGGCAGCCACACCTGAATTTATTAGTAGATGTTGGGGATTCACACTTGGGCCCTCATCCTCACAGAACTGTTCTCAGCCAGATCCACAGCCCCATAATGACGAACTTTCCACAAATCTAAATCTACTGGCATACTTCTAACATTCATATGACGTCCCTGCCATGGGACGTGTGTGAGGTCAAAGGTAACTTACAGGAGTTGATTCTTTCCTCTCATCACATGGGCCCGGGGACCCTTAGATCAGTAGGCCGGGCAGCGAACATATTTGATGAGCTATCTCAATGGCACCTTTAAATCAATCAATCTATCCATCTATCCGCCTGCCATCTATCTATCCATCCATCCATCCATCCGTCTGTCTGTCTATCTATTATCTATCTATTTACCTATCTATCTATCTATCTAATTTTTTTGAGACAGGCTATCTATCTGTCTGTGTATCTATCTAGTTTTCTTTTGACAGGGTTTCTCTGTGTAGCTTTGACTGTCCTATAACTCACTATGTACACCATGCTGGCTCAACTCTGCTTTCTGAGTGCTAGGATTAAAAGCATACACAACTACAACAAAGTTTCTTTTAAATTTATGTTAAACATTTTCTTTTTGAAGAAAAGGATTATTTCATTTTTAATTATGTATTTATGTCTATGAGTGCAGCGAGCGGTCCAGAGACTAGAAAGGATGTAGAGTCAGTTAGTTACAGGAAGCTATGAGTTACCCAATGTGAATACTGGGTGGCTGGGAACTGAACTCACGTCTTTTGAAAGAGCAGGAAGTAAGTGTTCTCAAGGAAGCCATGTCTCCAGCCTTTCTTAAGATTCTTTTTTTAAGTTTAAAGCTTAATTTTTTAAAGATTTTACTTATTTAGTATATATATATAT